CTTCTTCTGTCAACTCTGTATCCACACCAATCAAAGTCTGAATAACTCAGAAGTTCTGATTCGATCTTCCTTTTAAAATGAAATATCACTTCATACTTCAGAGTTCCCTTCACATACCTCAGAATCCTGACCGCAACTTGTTAATGAGACCACTTTGGTTTCTGCTAACTATTCCAATTGTATAGAAAATACCAGGTCTGGTATTACACAAATACCTCGAAAAACCAACCATCTGTTTGAAGGTTGTAGCATTCACATCCTCTCCATCAGAATCAGAGTCCAACTTCTCATTCGTATCAGCACGTGTGATAGCAACTTTGTAATTCTCTAGCTTAAATCTCTTCAGAAGCTCAAATTCATACTTCATCTGATGCAAAATGATTCCTTTCTCAGAGTACATAAACTCCATCCCTAGAAAGAAACTCATTTTCTCAAGATCTGTCATTTCAAACTCATTCATCACAACCTTCTTGAACTCAACTATCTCTTGTTTAGAACTTCCTGTGAGCAATATGTTATCAACATGTAAACATACCAGAATAATATTACCTTCTGAAGTATGCTGAACATAAACACCATACTCCATCTCACACTTCTGAAACCCTTGTCCCTTGAAAAATGAATCAACCTTCATATTCCAGGCTCTGGGCGCTTGCTTCAATCCATACAAGGCTTTGTGTAATTTGAACATCATCTCTTCCTGACTCTTTTTCTCAAATCTAGGAGGTTGTGACATGTATACCTATTCTTGTAATGGACCATTCAGAAATGCTGATTTTACATCTAAATAGATCAGAGGCCAATTCCTGTTAGCAGCTATTGCAATCGCTAGTCTGATTGTTTCATGCCTCCCTACAGGTGCAAACACTTCAGAGTAATCCATCCCAGGCTTCTGTATAAATCCTCTTGCTACTAATATTGCTTTGTGTTTGCCAATTGATCCATATAGCTTTAGCTTCTACTTGAAAACCCATCTGACGCTGATGGCTTTCTTACCTTTTGGAAGTTCTGTCAACTTCAAATTCTTGTTTCTCTCTGTAGCATCAAGTTCTTCTTTCATGGCCTGCAACCAGACTCGCTACTTAAGAGCCTCTTCCATACTCACGAGTTCAGAGTCTACTAACATTGCACACTGAATAACTTCTCCTTCGGAGTCTACTTCAGTATCTTGTAACATATCAAACTCTACAAATCTTCTTGGGATGCTTCTGACTCTTTGTTGCTTCTGAATTTGACCTTCAGAACCTCAGACACCAGAACTTTCGCCTTCAGAATCTCTTGCTTCATAAATTGGACTTTCTCCAGAACCTTGACTGTCTTCAGAGTCTGGAAAATTCCCAGAGTCTGAATCACCATTGGAGTCAGAGTCAGAATCATCTGCACCTTCTGAATCTTCTTCAGGGTCAAAGTCTTTACCAGCTTCAGAAACATGTGTTTCTGACTTTTCTTTAGGAATTCTCTCATCAGAGTCAGGACGAGACATTTCTCAATTCCAGACTTCTGATTCTTTTACAATGATGTCTCTGTTGAACTCAACTTTGTTAGTTTTTAGACAATAAAGTTTATATGAACCTGTACTGTGGTACCCCACCAGTAACATTACTTTACTTCTATCATCCAACTTCTATCTTCTGGCTTCTAGGATATGTTTGTAATATATAAAACCAAACACCTTCAGATGACTAACACTTTTCTTATCTCCAGTCCACTTATAAATAGGAACTATTTCCTTCAGCTTCTTCATTGGACATATGTTGAGCACATAACATGCAGTGGCAACAACTTCTCCCCACAAAGTATGAGGAAGCTTCTTCTCTTTCAGCTTGCTTCTCATCATATCAAGCAAAGTACAGTTTCTTCTTTCAGCAAGACCATTGTGTTGAGGAGTATAGGGAGCAGTAACCCCATGCTCAATTTCATTCTCTTCACAGAACCTTCTGAATTTTATGGAATTATACTTACCACCGCCATCATTTCTAAGAATCTTCAGAGTCTATCCACTCTGATTCTTAACCTTCAGTCTAAACTTCTTGAATTCAGCAAATATCTTGTGTTTGTACTTTATGAGAGATACTCATGTCATTCTGGTGAACTCATCAACAAATAACATAAAATATTTATTCCCTCCAATTGATGCACACATCAGAATGCACTACTCCAAGGCATACTCTGCTCTTGGAGCTACTTCTAATGCAAATGGTAATCTTGGTTGCTTCCCTTTCATGCACACCTTACATGACTTCTCAGGCTTCTGGATTGTAGGAATTCCATGTACCAGCTTCTTTGATTTCAGATGCCCTTAGCTTCTGAAATTCAGATGACCAAATTTTTTGTGCCACAACTTACTCTCCTTGACAACACTTGTTGCACTAAGACATTCAGAGTCTGCAGTTATAACATTCACCTTGAATGTTTTGTTCCTTCCTTGTTCTGACTCCATAATCAGCTTCTGATTACAGTCATACAACTTCAGAAGATTGTCCTTCATGGTAACCGGAAAAAAAATTCTCAATCAGTTGTCCCACACTCATCAGATTGCTTTTCATGCCAGGTACATATCATACATTCTGGATCACTGTTGTTTTCCCATTGTTTAGAATGATTCTAACATTTCCCATATCTTCTGCATTGAGGTATTTATCATCAACACATCTGATCTTTATACTATTCCCAGAGTCAAAATTAACCAACCATTTCTTATTTCCAGTAAGATGGTTTGAACACCCTGTGTCCATATACCACCATTCTGATGAATTCATATTATCAGATTCAGAAACCAACAATAGCACAGGTTCATCATCAGACTCTCCTCTGGCTATATTTACTTCTTCTGACTTCCTTTCTTTATTCGACTAACGATCTTTGGCATAGTGACCAAAGTTCTTGCAATAGTAACACTGAACATTCTTCTTGTCAGACTTCTCCTTTCCCTTCTGGACATTCTTCTGCCTATCAGAGTTTGAAGCTTCTGACCTTTGACCACCATTAGTTTTCTTCTTGGCTTCTGACAAAGTCTTCTTCTGATACTTCTTACCAAAAGTTACTTTCAGAGCCTGCTGCTCTACTTCCCTCTCAGAAGTTCTCTCAGTCATACGCAACTCATGCGCCGCTAGACTATTTTGTAGCTCTTCAACTCTCATGGTGCTCATATCTTTGGAATGTTCAATTGCTACCACAATGTAATCAAACTGAGAAGTTAAAGATCTCAATATCTTCTCAATGATTACTTGTTCAGAAAGAATTTCTCCACAAGCTTTCATCTTATTAGTGATCCTAATCACTCTAGAGATGTACTCAGAAACCTTCTCGTTGTCCTTCATGTTGAGATTCTTATATTGCTTTAAGAGACTGAAGCTTCACCTTCTTCACTGATGCATCACCATCGTAACATCTGACCAGTGTGTCCCACGCAACCTTTGTTATTTCAGAGTCAGCAATCTTCTCAAACACATTCACATCCACACATTGATGGATGTATAATAATATCTTCCAATCTTTCTTCCTTAGCGCCTTATGTGTAATCTTTTGTGCCTTTGTCGCGTCTGCTGCTAACAGATCATAGTCATCGGTGACAAGATCTAACACGTCTTGAGAGTCAAACAACAGACACATATGGATCTTCCAACGATTCTAGTTTTTACCATCAAACACTGGAAGCTTGAAGTTGATATCAGTGTTTTCGTTCATTTTCAACCTTGTGCAATTCACGCAAAAAAACTCACTAAAACACAATGTTTCCCAAATCTCACAGAATTAGAAAAAAACGATTCTCAATCACACAATATCTCACTGTTCACTCGTGTTTCCCGTGTTTCAAATCAGAGCTCTGATACCAATTGTTGGTGCACAAATGAGAGATGAAAGACAAAAGAAATATATTGAATGACAGCTACAAAATAAAGAATAATGAATTACATTGACCTACCTACTACTAGGCTATTTATACACAAAATTAAGATATAATAAAATATTAAAATACCCTCTCACAAACTTAATCATTAAGATATTCTTAAAATATAAATTAATTCCAACCGTCTTTAACTTCTAATAAAATCATGATACATAAAAAAAATGTCAAATATATGGTAGACTAAATCAATTTTCAAGTTTATAAATTTTTTTTAATTTTTTTTCGTGACTAGAGATAAATATCTGACCATAAAATTTTTATTTTCTATTATTTTTGGAACTTTTTAAAAACAAATTTTTATTTTAATGTTTCATTAATTCTCAAAAAAAATATTAAATTGTGTTGTTTTGACTTTAAAATGACAAGGAAAAAACAAACATTAACCCTGCAAATTTGTAAAATTTTCACCGATTTGATTAGAGGCCGATCCAATTTGTGACATTAAAATCGTAGTTACTCATCATCTAACATTCCCTTTTATTTAGATGTTTTGCTTCTTAGAAAAAAAAAGTTAGACACTAAAAAATTGAGTCTTCTTTTTCCCCTCTTTTTATTGGCAAAAGAATAATTATTTTAATTTTCACCAAAATCTTGCATGCGTAGAGAATCCCTTTTGACGTAGTAATGCATGTCAATTTCAACTTTAAAGACACCACTAATCCCAAAATGTACCGACGCACTTGTCTCCTATTGAATTATTTTTCAAGAAATGATGTCAATTGGAGAATCACGTATCAATTCGGTAGCACGTCCTATTAACCATGACTTTACCTTCAAGTGTAACTCTAAAACAATCACTACCACAACTTATGCATTTCAAATAACATGCATTAATTCAATTTTTCATATGTCTTTTCTATTTCTACTTGCCAAACAAGCATTTAATTCGCAACTTCTTTTTTCTTTCCATAAAGTATCTTATTTTAAGCCATTTTCAACTTAACTTTATCTTAAAGGACAGAATGCTTATAGTGGGGCTTTTGTATTATTGCTGCAAGGCCACTATCAATGAAACAAGTCAATTTAAGAATCAACACAAAATCATATATAGTTTATAGGAAATGTTGAACAATTTAGTTTGAGTTTCATAATGGGTGTTTTCTATCACGAGGAGGAGCAAGCAAATCATTCAAAGAGGTGCAAATTTTTTGCAGCTAGTCTCAAGGAAGTGTTCTCCAACTGTCAAACTTTCGGCCGAACTCGAAGGGTTTCGTCCGCAAGACTTGAAGACGAGTTTCCAATTAGTGATCTTGATGAAGAACAGCAAGTATTGATCATTCTTCAACCTTAAATTCAAACTGATTTTGAAAAACTCACTTTTTGTTTTTGGAGTGTTCGATATGCGCATCAGATATAAGTTAAAATCTGACACTGACACATATGGTTACATTAAATTATATATATTAGTGCTTGGGAGACTCTAACATGTTTCATGATGCTTTCTTAGGTGATTGTTTCGGCGATTAGAAGCCGGGCTATGGAGAAACAAAGGAACAAGCCAAGCCAATTGAGAGAGAGTTTTTCTTGGGTATATTCTCCTGCAACAAGAGAACTGTGTGTTACTGAGAAAATGAAACCACAAGCAAATGAAGAACAAGGTGAACGAGAAGAATTTTTGTCAGTTAAAAGCTGTTTCTCAATGTATTCATCTTCTAGTGCTAATGGAGAAGCATTTCATTCTGTGAAGACTAACCTTTCAAGATGTTCAAGCTTGAATGAGTTTGATCTGTCAGATTATTGGAAGCGTTCGATAATTCAAGAGTTCGGTCATTGCGAGGGATGGCCTTTTGGTCTCTGCCGGAAAGCTGTGTTGCTTCCACCGCTGCCGAAGTCTCCATCTGAATCATGGTTGTATCGAAAAATACAACCAAGTACCAAAGTTACTTCAAGTCTATTATCTGTACTTTGATTAAAACCACCACTGTAAGAATCAGAAATGGTTCAACTTTATTGAATAAGGACTATAAGAATCAGCACAAGCTTTGAAAACAGACCATGCTTATTATTGGGCGCGTTATTGTCTTGTATCAAGCAAATCAAAAGTTGACATATTGCAAATTTGCTATAAAATAGATTCTTATTTTCTTAAGCAAAACTTAGAGTAAGAAGCACAGCTGCACAGGAAAGGAATGCAACAAAACAAAATCAAAACTAGTATAGAGACAAACAAATCCAGTACTAAATAAATTTTTGATTTTACTTATAAAACGATCCCCTATTGGTTGATCCGAAAGATAGGATTCTTAAGTCATTTTGAGAAGATACATGAGTTCTTAAAGATTCTATCCACAAATCAATCAGAAGAATGCTCTTCTTTTGAACCGTTGAGAGACACTTCTTTACCTACGTTCTTTGTATCCAAACTCACCCAAAACAAAATGCAAGATTCAAGGCATACCCTGAGATTGTGTTATTTCCAACACAAATCCTAGTCATGGGCAGATGAAATACCAAGTCTAAGTTATACCTTGGTAATGTTTTCTCTATAGCAGTTTGTTACTTGATAATGGTGAAACTTCCTCACAATCTTTGTTCTTGTCATTTGTTTTAGATTAGTACTAATTATTATTTTGCCACACTTTGGATTATCATCAAAGACACATAGAGGTACTATGGCCAGTTGCAACATGGCATCAGCAGCTACAGCGTTTGTGTTGTCCAATAATGTTTCAAGCAACAACACAAACACAAATTCATTAGCATCTAGAGTCAATATGGTGATGTATGGGTACCCAACAACAAAAAAACATGATCTTTTGCTCTATATAGGAACCGGAAATATACTTCCGGTTTATATCATAAATGTATTTCCAATTTTGCATAAGTGCAACTTAAAAAAAATGCGCATCGGAAATATATTTTCAGTTTTAGAGGGGTATTTTAGAAATTGAGTAGGGTCTTTCTTTTAAGCATGGGATGAAATAAAAAATTCCCTAAAGAAATCTAAATTACATAGGATAACCTTGTCTACCATTAGACATCATCTCCACTCAACCAACAAACTTGCCAAACAGCTTTAATCCTCCCACTAACCCCACCCCACAAGATACTCCTCTGAAATTGAAATACCTATGTCTACACTTTGACCTGCATTTTTAAAAGGAAAGGTATGGGGAAAAAGAAAACTACCAGTCTACCATCACCCTTTTTGCTTGCCCATGGTACTATTTCATTCATTTATGAAAATGTTTTCACATTCATGAATAGAGGTATGTTTGAATGAAACATGGTATAAGCTTCCAAGTTTCAAATTATTTTCCTGTAGTTCGTACTTGCAAATAATGGATGTCAATAAAAACTGGGGGTAACTCAATATAACTAACCAACTTCCTCATCTGTTATTTTCATATTATGGGAAAAATATACAAGTCCTACAAATTTCACCAGCATTTACAGCTTATGGGAAATGACATTGAAAATGAAGGATGATAGGACTCAGTTAGTTGAGAAAGAATTGCCACGTGAGCGGCTGATTTACAAGGAATCAAGTGGACCCCAAGAGTGGAAAGTGTATTCTAGAAGGAAGGGTAAGAAGGGAATTGGTGGCTAGTTAGTTATAATATTGTGACGTGGCTTGAGTGAGGAGAGCACTTTGCAATCCATTTCCACGATATAAGGGATCAGAGGGAGAATGTAGATCTTACCTTGGATTATAGTGATTTACTAGCATGAATAGGGAGCTATAGCTTCCTATTAGGAGCCTAGCTCTTGTCAGATCTAGGGTTACATTCCCTTTTCTGTAACTGTTTCCCATTCATATTCACTATAATAAAGCTCTCTTTTCCTCTGTTTTCTGCTTGTACTGTTATATTACTACAATTCTGTGTTTTAGTTCGTATCAAGTGGTCCGACCTACCGGATTCCGACGAAGGAGCCAGTGAATGCCACCAAAAAAGGTGACGTTAACGGTGTTCGCAAAGATGGAAGCCAGGGTCGAAGCGTTAGAGAGTGAGATCACAGAGGTGCGTTCAACTCTCGTCGAGATGCAGAACTCAGTAACGACAAACCATGCTAATCTGATAGCAATGTTAGAGAAATGCTTGGGTAAGTCGTTGACCGTAGACGAAGGAGATGCGAGCGTGTCCGGCAAAGGTCCAAAGAGTACGGTTGTCAACAACCGTCATGGAGAGGCGTTGACAGAGTATCGCCAATCCGTGAAGAAGGTAGAACTGCCGTCGTTTACCGGAGAAGATCCGGCGGGATGGATCTCACGGGCAGAAGTGTATTTCCGCGTCCAGGACACGATACCAGAGATGAAAGTGAGTTTAGCTCAACTGTGTATGGAGGGAGCAACGATTCATTTTTTTAACTCTTTGCTCGGAGAGGAAGAAGGGTTGACCTGGGAATCGTTGAAGGAGGCTTTGTTGGAGAGGTATGGAGGACACGGGGAGGGTGATGTTTATGAACAGTTGACGGAATTGAAGCAAGAGGGAACGGTTGAGGAATATATCACAGAGTTTGAATACCTAACGGCACAGATACCGAAGCTACCGGAGAAACAATTTCGTGGGTATTTCTTACATGGGTTGAAGGCAGAGATTAGGGGAAAGGTACGTAGCTTGGTGGCAATGGGGGAAATGAGCAGAACAAAATTGCTCCAAGTCACAAGAGCTGTGGAGAGAGAGGTGAAAGGGGGAAACGGGTCAGGCTTTCATCGTGGGTCTAGAGCTGGTTATAACCCATCTCATAATGGGTCATCAGGAAGGAAAGCTGCATCTGATTGGGTCATGATAAGGGGGAGAGATGTTGGGCCACATGGGGGTGTCAAGAGTGGAGTAAGTGGGCTCAAAGGAGACAAACAGGCCCAAAATGAAAAGAAACACACTGGGCCTCGTGATAGGGGTTTCAAACATTTGTCTTACAATGAATTGATGGAAAGGAAGCAAAAGGGCTTATGTTTTAAGTGTGGAGGCCCATTCCATCCTATGCACCAGTGCCCAGAAAAACAACTAAGAGTTTTGGTTGTGGAAGAGGGTGGAGATGATGTGGATGAGACCAAATTCTTGGCTATAGAGGTGGATGAAAGTGATGAAGAGGAGAAGGGGGAGATGAGTGTACTTAACTTGCATCACATTGCACATAAGACTCATCATACTATGAAATTCCAAGGAACAATACAAGGAGTAGAGGTATTGATTTTGGTGGATAGTGGGGCAACACATAATTTCATTTCTCAAAAATTAGTGCATCAAATGGACTGGCCAATTGACACTACCCCTCAAATGACGGTCAAATTGGGGAATGGGTTACAAATAGCAACACAGGGGGTGTGTAAGGGAATGGAAGTGTGTATTGATGAATTCAAATTAGACCCAGAAATGCATTTATTTGAATTAGGAGGAATTGATGTGGTTTTAGGCATTGAGTGGCTTAAAACATTGGGGGATACTATTATTAATTGGAATAAACAAACTATGAGTTTTTGGAGTGAGAAGAAATGGGTGACTCTTAAAGGACAGGAGGGGTGCAGGAAGCCTACAGTAGCTTTGCAAACTGTTCTCAGCAAGCCCAGGCCCAATATGCAAGATTTATTGTGGATAGTAGAGAAAACAAAACCCAAAGAGGCTGAAAAAGGTCCGTTGCCTGTCCAACAACAAAGGGAGTTAGAAGCATTATTACACAAATATGATCAAGTGTTCCAAACCGTGCTAGGCCTTCCGCCGACAAGGAACAAGGAGCATGCGATCAACCTTGTGGAAGGACAAGGAGCCGTAAACGTGAGACCGTATCGTTATCCCCACCATCACAAGAATGAAATTGAGAAGCAGGTGAAGGAGATGTTGGACACGGGGATCATTCGCCACAGTACGAGTTCGTTCTCAAGTCCGGTGATTTTGGTGAAGAAGAAGGACTGCACATGGCGAATGTGCATTGATTATCGCGCTCTAAATAAGATCACGGTACCTGACAAATTTCCTATACCGGTGATCGAAGAGTTATTGGATGAGTTGCATGGAGCTACGTTCTTTTCGAAGTTAGATTTGAAATCGGGGTACCACCAAGTGAGGGTGAAGGAATCTGATGTGTACAAAACAGCTTTCAGAACACATGAAGGGCATTATGAGTTCCTTGTGATGCCGTTCGGACTCATGAATGCGCCGTCAACGTTCCAAAGCCTAATGAATGATGTGTTTCGCCCTCTGTTAAGGAAGCATGTGTTGGTCTTCTTTGATGACATACTTATCTATAGCAAGAGCTGGGAGACTCATTTGAAACATTTAGAAGAAGTGTTGAGTTTGTTAGCTAATCACAGCCTAGTGGCTAACAAGAAAAAGTGTTTTTTTGCCCAACAAAGTGTGGAGTATTTGGGGCACATGATTACTGAGCACGGTGTAGCCGTAGATCCTGGAAAAGTGGCAAGTGTGACTCAATGGCCACAACCTAAGAATGTAAAAGGGGTGAGAGGATTCTTAGGACTTACAGGTTATTACAGGAAGTTTATAAAGGATTATGGGAAAATTGCTAGACCTTTAACTGAGCTGACCAAGAAGGACAGTTTCAAATGGGGAGTGGAAGCTCAGCAAGCCTTTGATGAGTTGAAGTGGAGGCTTACATCAGCACCTGTGCTAGCTTTACCAGATTTTTCAAAGAGTTTTATGATTGAGTGTGATGCTTCAGGAGGAGGAATAGGGGCGATATTGATTCAAGATAAGAAACCAGTAGCATACTACAGCAAGGCCCTTGGGGTGAAGAATTTAGCAAAATCGGCCTATGAAAAAGAATTGATGGCAGTAGTTTTAGCAATCCAGCATTGGAGACCATACTTGCTGGGGAGAAAATTTGTAGTATCAACTGATCAAAAAAGCCTCAAACAACTACTGCAACAGAGAATTGTAACTGCAGAGCAGCAGAACTGGACTGCTAAATTATTGGGTTATGATTTTGAGATTGTGTACAAACAGGGTAAATTGAACAAGGGAGCCGATGCTTTGTCCAGAATTCATGAGGGAGGGGAGTTAGCTACCATGAATTACCAATGGAGATGGCTGCATATGGAACAGGTTAAAACAGAAAACCAACAGGATGAAAGGTTGCAGAAAATAATAGAAGAGGTTCAACAAAATGCAGAAACATGGCCTGGGTATGAGTACAAGCAAGGTGTCTTAATGTATGAAGGTAGGTTGGTGATTTCCAACAATTCTTTGCTAATTCCTACATTGTTAGAGGAATTCCACTCAACACCCCAAGGAGGACATTCGGGGTTCTACAAAACTTATAGAAGAATTGCGGCTAATGTGTATTGGATAGGCATGAAAGGAACCGTACAAGACTTTGTAAGAAGATGCGACATTTGCCAAAGACAGAAGTACATGGCTTCATCTCCAGGAGGCTTGTTACAACCTCTACCCATTCCTCATCAGATATGGGATGATTTATCGATTGACTTCATCACCGGGTTGCCAAAGTCAAAAGGTTTCGAAGCTATTTTAGTGGTGGTGGACAGACTGTCAAAGTACTCTCATTTTATCCCTCTGCGACATCCATATACAGCTAGGAGTATTGCTGAAGTATTTTGTAAGGAGATAGTCAAACTCCATGGCATTCCTCTGTCCATAGTAAGCGATAGGGATCCCATTTTTATGAGTAGTTTTTGGAGGGAGATGTTCAAACTGCAGGGAACTAAGCTGAAAATGAGTACCGCATATCATCCCGAATCGGATGGGCAGACAGAGGTGGTTAATAGGTGTTTGGAAACCTATTTGAGGTGTTTCATTGCAGATCAACCTAGGACATGGGTATCGTGGATACACTGGGCTGAATATTGGTTCAATACAACTTTTCACGCTGCCACCGAGAAGACACCATTTGAGGTAGTTTATGGAAGGCCACCTCCAAAACTAATTCAATGGAGTCAAGGAGAGACTAGAGTTGAAGCTGTGCAGAGAGAATTATTGGACAGAGATGAGGCTTTGAGACAATTAAGGAACCAATTATTGAGAGCACAAGAGAGGATGAAGAGTCAAGCTGATAAGAAACGCACGGACAGGAGTTTTGTATGTGGAGAATGGGTGTTTGTCAAGCTTAAGGCTCATAGACAGCAATCAGTAGTGACCAGAATTTGTGCGAAATTAGCAGCAAGATACTACGGTCCTTATCCCATTATTGAGAAGATAGGAGCAGTGGCATACAGACTGAAGCTGCCCGAAGGGTCCAGAGTGCATCCTGTTTTTCATGTTTCATTATTGAAGAAGGCTGTGGGGAGTTATCACGAAGAGGATGAGTTACCCGAGCTATTGGAGGAACATATTGAAGTGTATGAACCAGAGGCGGTACTAGCCACTAGGAAGGTAAAAAAACAAGATGAAGAAATAAGGCAAATCCTCGTACACTGGAAAGGCAAGACAGCAGAAGAAGCAACTTGGGAAGATGAGATAATGATCAGAAGCCAATTTCCAAAGTTTGGCCTTGAGGACAAGGCCATTGCGGAAGGAGAGGGTATTGATAGGACTCAGTTAGTTGAGAAAGAATTGCCACGTGAGCGGCTGATTTACAAGGAATCAAGTGGACCCCAAGAGTGGAAAGTGTATTCTAGAAGGAAGGGTAAGAAGGGAATTGGTGGCTAGTTAGTTATAATATTGTGACGTGGCTTGAGTGAGGAGAGCACTTTGCAATCCATTTCCACGATATAAGGGATCAGAGGGAGAATGTAGATCTTACCTTGGATTATAGTGATTTACTAGCATGAATAGGGAGCTATAGCTTCCTATTAGGAGCCTAGCTCTTGTCAGATCTAGGGTTACATTCCCTTTTCTGTAACTGTTTCCCATTCATATTCACTATAATAAAGCTCTCTTTTCCTCTGTTTTCTGCTTGTACTGTTATATTACTACAATTCTGTGTTTTAGTTCGTATCAAAGGAAACCATTCCCAGCTGACAAAGTTAAAAGCTATTATTTCCTTGCGATTATTACGCTCGACAACAAAAAAAAAAGTCAGGAGAAGACAAATCGAAGGGTCTCCATGAATCAGGGACATTACATCAGAAAAAAACAAATTACATTACATGCACTGTTTCTAAAATATTTCTTCTATGCTCTTTGCTCAACATATGAACCCGCAAGTCCAGAAGTTCCAAGAACCGTAACCTGCAACAGAAACCAGAGATATGATAAAGGAATCAGAAATTAGTCTGTCATTATTAATAACTACAGCATGCAACAAATCTCTTTTATTTTCCTCCTCATGAGTTATTTTACCGTGAATGACTACGCGGGACAGAGAACCAACCAAAAATATTGTCAGAAAAAAACAATTTAAAGAGGAATTTGTGAAAAGACATGGAAAAGTCAAATTTGATATTCCAATTAATGTGGCATACAATATCGTTTAACTACATATTTTCAAGATCTTAAAATTGAATAATTTTGCAACTTGCAAGTGCACAAAAATTTGAAACTGTCAAAATGGGGGTTCACCATAAACATCCATGGTGTGTTCAACTGGTGATGTCATTGTGTTAGCCATGGGGAATGGCAGCCATTGACTATCATATTGGCAAATCTCTTAAGTTCAAATAACAAGAAAAGCAACAGAAGAGAACCCTAAAAAAACTAACACATAAAACAGCAGCTTTGCAGCTCTTTTCTTTTATCCTTCATTCATGAATATTTTAGTATTAGTTAAAGAGGAGTAATAGCAAAACACTCTTCCCAATATGCTGTCTCCTACGGATTGAAATTCAAATGGATATCAAAAATCATGTGGGCCCCACATAACTTTGTCAAGACCCATATGAAATTTCAACCCATGGTATAATTCTTAGTTGAAATGTTATATTCCAGTAGGTTATGATGATCTTTAACGGTTTAAGAAAACTAGAAATTTCAAGAACAACAAAACTTGGCACTACACTTCAACTTGGGAGCAACCAGTATCTGTCACGCTGCCAAAGCATTTTAGAAACTTGCCCTCTTTGACAACCATAAACCATAATAACATTTTAAATTCAAAAAACTGTCAGATAAATATATGGTAATGAGTGAAATATATATACGATACCTTTCCCCACTCAGAACCAAGGCCACTGCATCTCATTTTTAAGTGTATCATCTTTGTACCCAATTCCGATTCCACCTTCTTCCGCAGATAGTTCTCATCAGGACCAAAAGCATTCAAATAGGTGGTGTAGCGATCAAAAATTGTATGCAGAGCTTTGTTCACATGATCAGGCAAAGGCTTTACATCCTAAGAAAATAAAAACTCAAATCATCAACCATATAGGATAGATATATGAAAAGAAAGAGAATGCAGTAGTGTCTCTAAAGAATCCGACAAGGATTTTCAACCATGAAAAATTGATGAAAAGGGTATTTATTTTAAACCCAAACTACTGAGATACTACGTGAGTTGTTTGATCTCCATCAACCAAATGTGATAGGTGAATGGTAAGAGAATGGAGTAATGTCCCTTAATGAACCGGGCCAGGATTTGCTACCATAAAAAATTGATACAGTCACTATAATCAACATATCAAAATCGTTGGATGAAAATCAAACGAGTCAAGATTAAGAGTACTTATTTTGAACTCAAATTGCTGAGGTACAACATGAGTTGTTTGATTTCTATCAACCAATTCCAATTTACGGATAAAGTGACTCCCCCATTTTCTAAACTACTTTCTCACGTCTTATATTTCCGAAATAAAAAATACCTCGCCGCTAATGCCAATGCTGTCATCAATTTCCATTTTCAACGTAACAAGAATCCCACCAAACTCTTCAACAGCCTGGGCAGCACGAAACACATTAGTCACAACCTCCTTACCAGCCTCATCATCAGTACTTTTTGCCAACGCATGCTTAGCATCAGAAACAACAGCATCCGAAATATCACTCCAATTTTCAGCCAACAAATCCTTGAAAACACTGTAAAGCTCAGCATCCTTAATCTCAGGCACATGATTCACATCTTCACTATAAAATCGCAAACTTCCTACTCCATTCGAGAACGGAGACCTGCAATCTGTAAATCGTTTTTCAAACAAAACAGATTTAGCATACACTAAATAAAAAAATCTAGCTTCTCTAAATTGAGCATTCCAAAATACATAGCAAATCATGATATATTTGAATATGAATTGCTTATTTTTCGAATCGATAATAGACAAACCCTAGCTTAATGCTACAGAATGAATTGATGTAAAATAATTGAAACCTAATGGGATTGAGAAAATTGGTAGAGAGAGAAAGTACCTGAGGAAGGAGAGAGAGGATTGAGAAAGCGAGGGGAAGAGAGGGTTTGAAGTTTGTTGGTAGCGGCGGTGGCGGCGGCGGTGAAGGCGCGGGAGGAATAGGATCTGGAAGAGTTGAGTGATCGGAATAAGGATCTCAATCCCAACATCGTCTTCATTTTTCGCAGTTTTGGTTTGGAAAAGCTTGATAGTAATTTTTGTTACTTCGTTTTCGAGTTTTTTTGTGTGTTCTTCTACTTAATTAATTAATGGGAAATGATGCTATTACCCTTACACGTCAGATGCAATTAAATAATTAATATTTTATAGCTCCAATTTAATAGTTTGAGATTTAAATAGTATTGTAAAAGTTTTTTTTTTTAAAATCAATATTTATATGTTAGCTCTATGTCGAGCAAAGGCCCACTACGGCATTTCATTTATGATTATCCAACGTATAAAGTATACACATGTGAGATTTAAAATATTTTTTGATTTCCATTTTTTAATATGTCTTTTTTAAATTTTGTAACTGGTTTGGGCGTTGAAGTGTTAACCTGACTGTGCATCACTGTATCGAAAATCAACATCATTGATTCTAGAGTCTCACATCATCAATCAAGATCAATTTTAATTCTATAACAGAATATATTGAACCTCATCATCAAAATTAAAAATTGTATTGGTTAAAAAATATAGGTGTGCATGTTCTTCCTGGAAGGGCAGGGGACACATAAGCATTTGTTAGTATATTAAGTTGTATGGAGGTTAGGGCTCTTCCATGGCGGCAAGAAGCCCCGTGTGATGGTGTTTATGGTGAATCGGAGGGCATGCTCACGTGAGGTGAGAGGCTTTGTATATGTGATGGTTGCTTGAGTATAAGCGTATGAGTTAACATTTGTCACTTCTCTCCTTTGGGGAGGAATATTATTAGAGGCCTCTTGGGCCTAGGGTTTTCTAGGGAAGAGCCACCATCCACCTGGTCAATAGTGAATCGTTGAATCCCTATTTCCAAGGAAACATGGGCAAGTTATTGACCTTGACTTCTCTCTGCCCTAGAAATATCTTATCCCATGTTTTCCTTGACTGGGCAAGAGGGAGTTGTATGGGGGAGAGGCGGTACTTTCCTGAGAGCATCATATGATTGCCATCTCTCTTAGGGATAACTTATAGTCATTGCCCTAGATAGAACCCTTACAAATATAACATCACATAGCCTCTCAAGCACGCGGCCCTTGATAGAGGGTGGAGTTTTTTTCCAGACCGTGCTATAGGAGAGTACCCCGAGGCCCTAATTTTCTACATGTTACAATAGGCTTGTTAGGTTTGAGGGTTATTATCTCTTAAGAGAAGTTGTATTGTTTGGTTCGTTCGAGGAAACTCTAAGTCCTTTAGGTGATGTTTATATGTATCATGGCTAATGAGACTATAATTCTCACAGTCGAGACGTTAGACACCTCTGGTGGGACTTTCATCAAGCCCTCAGACAAGACTTATAGTTAACTCTTTTAGGCCAGACTTTAGCCGCGTCTCTGGGCATGATTACAATGTCTGGTTCCACCCGAGTCCTTAGGCGATAGTTTGACTACCCTAGGAAATCTAAGTCCCTCGTGCAGAGTTTATACGTAGATTGAACAATGAGACTATAGCACTCTCAGGAAAAGAATTTGACCCCTTGAATGGGACTTTCACCAAGGCCTCAGATAAGACTTACAACTAAGTCTATTAGCCCAGACTTTAGTCGCGCCATTGGACGAGATTACTATGCATGGTCCCGCCCGAGGAAAATACAAGTCCTTCAGGCATGAGTTTGTGTTGGTGTAAGCCCTAGAGGCCAATACTTTTGGTACTTATATCGAATTATTTATTAATAATAAAAGGAATTTCTTTATTATGTTTGCTTTCCAAAATAATAAAGTCCCTAAAATGGTTTATTGGTTTAATGAAATGTTAAGTGTGACTTAATCATGAGATCCCATTAAACATAAGACACTATTCTTAAAGTATCCGTAGTCAAGCTTTAATGTGAAGTGGGATAACATTAAAGCATTAAGATTATTATGAAGATAGATTGATGATCACATCTCATGGATCATAGATAAGGAGTTATCAAGTCTTGACATAGGTATGAATATTAGGAGTAATATTTATACTGGATTGACCCGCTATGAGAATACTACATAGAATGTTATGCAAAGTGTCATAAGTTATTCTCATGATGATAATGGTGTATACCACCCTTCGACCTGAAACCATTATGCACCCTAGATGTAGAGTCAAGTACTTTATTGTTGATCAAACGTCATCTGTAATTGGATGACTATAAAGACGGTTGATGGGTACTTCACAAAGCATGCTAAGGGACATGAGTGACCTAGATGGAATTTGCTCATCCTGCATAACAGGATAAATGTCTAAGGGCCCAAATATTGAATTGGACAAGGGTGACACAGTGTATGCCTTCTGTTCAATATAGACATGAGGGCAAAAGGGTAATTGTACAACACAAATATTATCACGGAAAAGGTTTGGTCAGATCACATGACATTTTCGTGACTTGGGTAACAGTGATGTGTTGCTAGATACCGCTCACTGTTTATTATATTAAATGTGTGATTTAATATAATTGCCAACATCGCGAAAACCTACAGGGTCACACACATAAGGACAGATTGATGAGAGATAGAATAAATAAGGAACACCGTAAGGTACAGTGCACTTAAGTGTAATACGGAAAGTGGTAAGGTACCACGTGGATAAGTGATATATGGTACATCATAAGGTATGATGTCCATAAGCTTAATTGGGCTTTTAGGTTATAGCCTTAATTGGGCTTTTAGCTTGTAGCCCACACGAGTGATTCTATAAATAGATCCCTTGTGATGAAGCAATTTCACTTGATGCAATTTCATTTTTGATTCTCTCTCACTCAAGGTTTCCGTTCGTGATCAGCTAGCACTGTGACCGGAAGCGATCTGTTCGTGTGGACTGAGTAGAGGCGTTGTTCTTCATCAACGCTCGTGATCACAACATCAAAGGTCTGAATCGCCACAAGAGGTAAATATTTATATCACTGACCATGCTCATTCGTAAGGATCGCTAAAGGAAAATTTTAAATTTCGCTGCGCTTTTGATCGCAATTTTCCTTCAGTGGTATCAGAGCCACTTACGAAACCATGGATCTGATAGTTGTTTATGTTCTATATTTTCTGTTTTGATTCGATTAAAACCAGAATGAATTGAATAATAAATGAGTAATTAAATTTGGCATCTGTTGTGTACGATTTGGATGATTGATGTTGACTATGCTTCGGAATCCGACATTAGTATGGTGAAGCAGCGATACATCGATCGTCCATAGGTTACACAAATAAGATCGATCACTTTTATATATGATATAAGTAAATCTGATGCAACGATGGTATATGGGATATACTGTTTCTGTTTCGTTCATTCAAACACTTGATGATTGTTATTCCTTTGATCGATCACTGTTCATATGCTTCGGAATCCGACATTAGTATGGTGAAGCAATGGCATGTGATTAATCATACTGAATTATCAATCGAAATGTGTTTGACAGCATGAAACTGTTGCATTAGGGTTCATGACGGCACAAGGGTTGTGTTGTTGCAGAGTTATGCGATTAGGGTTGTGAATGCACAAGAGTTGTGCGAAAATGACGTCGATTTCAAATGAATTATTCATTAAAATTTTGCCTTAGTTTTTTTTCCTTTATTTTGTTTTGGGATTGTAAAATACGGCCTGCGTGTCGTGCCTCTCTCTAAAATTCTTGATGTAACTTATTTTCTCATCTCACTCCCTCGTATGTAAAACGAGTTTCTTTTATGTAATGTAATGTTATGAAGAAAGAGAAGAATACAATATCAAAGGAGGATAACCTTGGAGATCTTGCTTGGAGAAGTTTAGATCGTTATTAGGTTAGCTTAGGTTCTCTCATTGGCTTGGGAGAACAATTGCGCTAGGGGCCATAACTGTATCCTTTTATGTATATTGATGCATGAGAGAGACGAATTGCATGTTAAGCCGGTGAGATCAAAATAATAACAAAATCCCTCAAGTTAAATATTAAGTTCATGCTTTCCAAGTTTTAGCACTCATCAAGACTAGTATCGAACAATGTAGGTTTCGCCTACGCGAGGTGCATGTTCTATATTAGTAAGGTGCGATGGGATAATTGTAATATCCAACTGCTAAAACAATGGGTCAAACTTAACTAAACACATTATAATAAGATTATACATGTTTAGAAGCAAGAGTTGGGAATGATTCATATGATGAATTAGAATAAGGAGTTATTCACCCAACTGAAAATATTCGAGAGTTGTATGAGATACAATTGGAAGGAGTTCCTACCTAAATAACCTAGTTTTGTGTAATCAGCCTAACGCTGACTTAGAACAAAGTGAAATGTGCATCTCGACCCACTAGAAAGTCTTCCAACGGGATTTTCCGAATCAAATGATGAGGGTCATTTGGTTTGAGTAAAATAGTGGGAGCATATTTGATTAAAGGCCTAATTAAATATGTTGTTTTAATGATACTTATATTTTCATTTTTTTTGCAGATTACCATGACAACAAACAACCATATTTTGCGATCAATCCTAGATAAGGAAAAATTGTCTGGGACAAATTTCCTGGATTGGCACCGAAATCTGAAGATTGTCCTCAAGCACGATAAGAAGCTGTATGTCTTGGAGACACCTGTTCCTGAAGAGGAACCGCCTAGTTTGGCACCTAAGGCAGAAAGAGATGCTTATAGGAAGCATTTTGATGATGCTAACGAAGCCGCTTGTCTCATGCTAGCTACTATGAACTCGGAGTTGCAAAAGCAACACGAGAACATGTCAGCGTTCGATATGATCGGACATCTGAAAATGCTCTATCAAGAGCAGGAAAGAAATGAGAGGTTTCAGGTTTCAAAGGCACTTTTTAACAGCAAGTTATCTGAGGGAAACCCTGTAGGTCCCCATGTACTCAAAATGATTGGGTATGTGGAGAACCTTGAAAGGTTAGGGTTTCCGCTTGGAAAGGAACTTGCAACTGATTTTATCTTGCAATCGTTGCCAGATAGCTTTAATTAGTTTGTCATGAATTTCAACATGAATGACATGGATAAGAGTCTTCCAGAATTGATAAGCATGTTGAAAACTGCT